CCATGCTGCAATTCGGGCGCCACTTTCAAATACTGCATTTTTCAGTTCTGCCCTCGGGGCCTTTGCAGAAATGCCCCTGGTACCGTACGTGTCACCGGTACTTATGCCGGCTCCCCGTACGGTACGGGGACGAGTCTCGACCAGTTCTCTGCTGCTGTACTCGTACTCAGTGTGACTTGCTGTTTTGGCATTCGGAATCCAAGACTTCGACTTGGTGCCTTGCCACTGTGTCTGCGTCCGACCCTCAGTCCGAGTCCGTTGTGTCGAGTGAGTGAGTGTGTGTGTGTGCTCTCACTCTCTCCCTCTCTCTCCCTCTCTCTCCCTCTCTCTCATCTCCCTCGGCTCACCCTCAGCCTCACGCTCGTTACAGAAGGGCTGAAAAATTTCCAGCATGGAGTGGAAGTGTCAGGGCATACAAGAACCTGGAGAACGTCACGTCCAGTGACAGAGCTCTGCCGAAACCGACACGACTGTGGGGCACTAGACCGTGAAAACCTGTTTCGAGTGAAAAGCGAAACTAAATTGTATGATGCGGGCCCCAGTTACTTCAAGAAAAAAAAGTGTGCTGCTGGCGGTTCTTTTGTCTTTGGTGTGGAGTGCAACTCCGCATTGGGGAAAGAGGCATGGAGGTACTGGTGGCTTAAGGGCCTCATATAGGACTGATATAAATGTATAGTCTTCGCCTTTCCATTATGGGGGACTGGTTTGCCTAGCAAGTATTTTTAGCATCATTGTATATGATATAGAATGCTAACGAGTATTAATGACATAAAATCCAGAATGCATACCCTATCTTGGATAGAACTGAATCTCTCTTTTCTTATGGTCAGATGTTAATTACTTTGTCTTGTTCGCATTCAGGAGATGAACCATTTTATTATGTGCTGAGTCTGAAGGATGTGATTTTGGCGAAGCCCCGTGATGCGGAAGATCATGTGGAATGGCTTTTGAAACATGGGCGTTACGACAAGGCTCTGGAGGCTGTTGAAGCTGCGGGTGCACGGCCTGAGTTAATGGAAGAGGTACGATTCATGGCTGCTGCAGATTGGATGGAAGATGATGGCAGGCACAGGAGAACGGAGAAACAAGTCTTTGTATGCAATAGAGAGTAAGGCCAAGGAAATGACGAAATGATCTCTTTGGCCATTTGAATGACAAAAAAAAAAGCAGATTTTCAGCATCCATGAAGAGCACAGAATCACATGAGAGGGAAGAAAGAGAGATGAGGGAAGAAGAGGGCAAAGAAGAATTGAATTCACATGCTATGATTCTGGTCAGTTTGTAACACAAGATTCAACTTGGAGACGATGCCATACATTGCAACTGAAGAAGTGGATCTAATAAATAAGGAGAGAACAAAACAAAGAAAGAAGAACACAAGATTAACTGATATCACCTCCCTCCTCCTCTGTCCATCATCACGGACTGAATGGCCGCCCTTACTGCCAGCATTCAAAGAAATCCTTTAGCTCTCTCTCTCTCTCTCTCTCTCTCTCTCTCTCTCTCTCTCTCTCTCTCTCTCTCTCTCTCTCTCTCTCTCTCTCTCTCTCTCTCAGACTTTGAAATGATGGCAATTCGGGCCAATTGACAGAATTTCTCCTTTGAAAATTGCAAAAATATCCAACTGGAACTGTGTGCATATGTATGTATCTGGGGGTTGCATGCGTATGTTTCTGTGTGTGCATGTGTGCGTGTGTTGTTGAGATTATGTAGAGCAGTTTTGTGTACTCTGTGTATGTGGGTGTGTGTGCATATCTATCTGGGTGCATGTGTGTGTGTGTGTGTGTTGTGTGTGTGTGTGTGTGTGTGTGTGTGTGTGTGTGTGTGTGTGATGTTGAGGTGATGTTTGTTGATGTTGAGCAGTCGTGTGCATTTTGTGTTTGCAGGTTGGTCGCCGGTACTTGGATCACCTTCTTTTGCAGAAGAAGTATGCTGATGCAGCTGCCCTGTGTCCTAAGTTACTGAAGGGAAATGCTGCATCTTGGGAGAGGTAAGTAACTTTCCATGCTACTAAGGGCTTTGAATCGTTGCGGCTACTTTTTTGTCGGGGGGGGGGAGAGGGATTTAAATGATGCTATTTGTACCTGTCAAATGGCTGAACAGTGCATGCATGTGACTCTTGCTAAAACAGATCAAAAGCATAAAATTCAAATCCTGTTGTGGATATAAAAACATTATGAAAGGATTCACGCGTCTCAGAGTTCCGGTCCCAAGTTCGAAGCCCGAGAGCTCCTTG